TTGGGCTGGGCGATATGGATCAAAATATATATATCTATCTTTTTTGCTGAATTCCGATATACGATATATATCGATATTTTTCCTCCTGTAAATTATTTACAAGTTAACTCACTTCAAGCTGTCTTGAGAAATTATGAACATAAATCAGTAGATTAAATGCATGAAAATGTATTGATTGTTGTCAAACTTTAACCTTAGTGCCTATTCTCTACCAGTCTGAGCTTTAGTAACACAAGTACAGCTGTCTGCTAACACACACACACACACACACACACACACACACACACACACACACACACACACACACACACACACACACACACACACACACACACAGTTCAGAGCTAGAGGTGTATCAAATGTTCCACAGGACCTTTTTAATTATATATTGATAATTAATGTAAAATTATTTAAATATCATCTAGAGGTGGCCATATCGTTTATTTCTTGTCCAGAGAAACAAAAATCTATCATGTTAAGCTAAATTTATGATGATGTAATTGCATCTACTGAGGATCACATGGGTCATGCACCGTGGAGTTGTTAGTTATCAGGGCAAACATGGCTGCAGTCTAACAGTATTGGCTCATATCAGCAATTATACTGTAATGACTCAGAGTCTCTGGTTGCTCTTTTATAAGTATTATTTTCAGGCTACTGTTGCCGTAACCCACGCCTTACAAACTCTTAACTTTTTCAACAGAATCGCTCGTAACGGAGTATTTACTAGCATAGCAAACCAGAGCGGAAAAAAAACGGAACCAGAACAACATTTCTCACCCGTTGAGCTTGCCTTCAAAATAAAACGTTTACTTTATAGTTTACGATTCAAACCCTTACAATACGTTTGAGGTAATTTGGCCACTCCGGCAATTCGTAGATGTTTCCTGATTACACAGGGGAGGGAGGGGTTTGGCTCATCTCTCCGGCTCCTCACAAGCAGGATGGAAAACAGAACTCAGTTGGCGTTGAACGTCCCCAAATAATTAAAAAACCAGAACGCCAAATGCAAAGTTTAGAGCTGCACATTTATCCAGAGGCTCTCAGATATGAGCAAACTTGTGAGAATGTGAATGCATGTAATAGCTGCTTAGAGACGGAGCAACATGTCGCTAGCATAGCGGCTAATTGCTAGCATAGCAGTTTGACCAGTTATATTGATATAAAGATATTAAGTCATCTTGTATCTTGTTTACAAATTATATCGATATTTTTTAAAATATCAATATATCGTCCAGCCCTACTGTGAAGTTCATGTGATTAAGATCCAGCGGTTGGTGAAAGTTCTGTGTTGCACTGGTGACATTTTACAATGTAAATAAAGCAGAAAAACTCTAGATAACAGCCATGAACCGTATCGACTGATATCTAATCTTAATCACATGTACCTTTAACTTTTCCTCAGTTGTACCTTTTTTGTTTGTCTTAATGAAGACATCATTTATTTTTGTTTGTCTTAATGAAAACTTTGTGCTGCTCAGTTTCTTTTTCATAAAAAGTAAATTGTTGGTGGCCATAAAAATGTTCCATAAACTTGTAAGGACAATTATCAAAATGCTTGTGCACAAATAATTCTGTCATGCACGCAAAGAGAAATTCACAAAACACCAAGTTACCGGTATGGACAGTATTACAGTGTTACACACAGAAACTCTGTTGTACCTGCCTAACTTCAACCTTGTGCTCGTGGCAGAAGTGTTTTGCTTATGTTATAACATCTTTCATTTAGCGAAAAGGAATGCCGTGTGCTGTGGGTCTCAAATATATCCAACCATCAACATGTAGAAGAACTAGACAGAAAAGTGTAATGCAGATGGGAAACCAAAGGGAACTTGAACACCCCCTATTGACTTTAAAGTCCTACCCTCTCCATGTTAAACAAATAAGACTGAAAACTTTCATCTCTGATCCTTTTTTCCATGTATTGATTCAGACTTTTTCTTGGTGATTCATGTGAAAATATGAACTTTTCTATGACATTTGGTTGAAGCTATTCTTATTTGATGTTACAGTTAGTAGCACTGATGCTTTGCAGCAAAAAGGTTGCAGGTTCTGGTTTTTTATGTTACTCCGTGCATGTGGGAGTTTTCTTTCACAAGTCAAAAACATGCATGTTAGATTAAAACATTGGATAAAAGGTAAATCTGCTAAATAAACAAACACATATCACGAATATCTGGTTCCTATAATACATTAACTCATACTAGTACATAGGGATGTGAATCTCAGAGCAACTCACGATTTGATTCGATTCCGATTCTCGGGGTGCCGATTCGATTCAGAATCGATTCACAATCAGTATTAACAGAGTGTCAGTTCCAGGATTAACTACTTTGTTGTGCAAGTTAGTTAAAGCTACTGGAAATTTTTTATTTTACTTTAAACTGGTCATGCTAAAAAAAATGCTAATTTACAATGTAAACTAAAGTGATTCTAAAACTGTAAACAAAACAATCTTTTGACCAAAAGGCAACATTTATTTTTGCTTACCTTGTAAAATATAACAAATCATTAGTTACCTAACAGTAGCTTTGAAAGTAATACGGTCAAATCTGTGGAAACAAGTTTAACATTTGAGTCCTCAACCTGTTTAAAAAAAGTGCCTCAGATTTCTTACAAAGGAAAATGTTTTCTCTAATTTATCAATAACTTCAAATAAACACGAGTAATCCTGAGTACTCGCTTATCAACTTAGAAAATAAATATGAGAATATCTCAAATTTCTGAGTATGGAAAAATAAATTACATTCTAGTCCCCACTTATCAGCAGATTCAAAAATAAATCATCCCAATTTATGGGACCACAAAAGTAAACGGAGTACTGACTCTCCTAACAAAGACCAAAAAAAAACATACAAAAGTGTGTCTCAAACCTGTAACATGCCAAACATTTGAGTTCCAGGAATCGATTCTGAACCTTTGTGATTCCATTCTGAATGTTTATAAATAAGAATCCCGATTCAGACTTGAATCAATTTTTTTCAGCACCTCTACTAATACACCCATCTAATGGGCTTGACACATGGCAGGCGACATCGCCTCTCCTCCATTCATTTTCAATGAGACATGCGGGGCAAAGCGATAATCTCGGGTCTCCCTCCTGCTAAGCAACATGCGAAAAACATGCATGTGAAATTATGCGCTCATGCATGTGTCGTGCACAGGCGAGCCGAGCCAGCGGTGCGATCCCAGAAAGTAGAAATTTTCAACTTTTCATCGCCGTTGCTCGGACAATGACCAACCAGCGGAGGCTTTATTGACTGACCAGTGAGCGGACAGGATGCTTCTCAGTATCTTCAGGCAAACATGAAGGAAAGGTAAATAATTGCTGTGTTGGATTTCCCAGAGCTTTACAGCATTTCCACAAAAGAATGTAGAGATCGTCACAAAAAGGCAGCAGCATGGGAAAATGCTGGTGAGTTGGTTGTTGGTGTGGTCTCATGTTCACCATTTCTTTTTCTGTTTGTTATTTGGGATGAACCCATTCATGTAGTCTTCTTTTATATAATAAAGTCAGAAGCAAGACTTCACTTAACTCTAAGAAAACCCTGTGAGACTTCATATCTCCCACTTTTTAAACTGAGCTGCTTTAATGACCTAAAATTCCCTCTAATCTTACAGCCAATCAAAACAATGCAAGACTTGCTATTTGCTCTGGAACAGAGCACGTTGCTGGCTTTTGCCGCTGGCCGCTGCCGCTCGTCGCCTCGCGTATGTCGAGCCCATTAGCATCACGGTTATGGTGAATGAGATTCAGCTGCTGTTGGAGACAAAATAAATATGGTTCTTCCTTTTAGTAACTGAAATTGAAGTAGTTGTCATTTTGCACAGAAAATGTTTAAAATCTAAGCACGATAGGAGAAATGTGATGTTAATGACTTAAAATGTTTTCTTTTTTCTGAGAGTGGGGCACAACACACACACACACACACACACACACACACACACACACACACACACACACACACACACACACATTACTGCTTCATGTTCATTTTAATAAGGTCACAGGCCTATGATTGGTCCACAAGTACAAGTTCAAACTGCAGCAGATGAAATTCCGTTTGAGTTTTGTTTGTTCATTCAGAGTGGTGTTGGAGTCTGAGCAGCAGGCTCTGTTGGTGTTAAACGGGTGGATTAGGAGGCCAGATGGATTATGGTTGAAGATGGGAGGGTTTGAGGCAGGATGGCTCAGAGTTTTATGTTTTAATGAAATCAATACGCTGTAAGTGTTGTCTTCATCCCCTCCTGATGGGATTATTCCACCACTCTGGGAGGGCACCGTGACTTTCCCCTCCACTGGTCTGGCTCAACTTCACACATCTAGGTGGCAGTGAGTCACCTCAGCTAGTTGTCTACTGTATTGGTTGCTCAGATTCATTTACACATAATCACCATGGCAGAAGGTTATTTGTGCACACTGTCGTTTGAGTGACTGTGTCCATGTTTGAGGATTGCTGTGGGAGCGTCTGTCAGGAGCGGGTGTGTCTGACAACGTTAGCCAGCCCTTTTCTGCTCTTTAGAGTGCAGGCTAGAGGGAATTCCACATTATCTGTTGCTGTGCAAGTTCGCCGGGCAGTAACAGTCTCACTACAGGAGCAGTAATACCTCTTTACGCCTGATCACCGCGCCCTCGCCTCAAGGTTTCTTCATTCATCCAGGTATACCGGCACATCGAGGTGCTCCCCCGCTACCCAACTCCCAGCCCGATCAATAACTCAATAGCATTTTTCATACTGCTGGCCTGTTGGGGGAGATGTTATCCACAGCTGAGCATATGTGGGACACCCTGCATGTTACTACAATAAACCAGGCTTTAGCTGAATCTAGCAGATAAGTATTCTTGCACCAAGTGGTTAAGACCAATCTTCTAAACTAAAAAAAAGACCAGAAAACAAAACAATAATAGCTGTTGATGACGTACGGAGCCTGAGGCACTTGCGGGGGTGTTTGTAAACAAAGATGGTGCCGATACTGACGGTATCTTTGTCTGATTTCAGATGGAGGTGTTGCAGGAGTCCAGAATGATGATCCCAGACTGTCATCGCCGTCTGGCCATGGCACACGCCGACCTCCTCCAGTTACTAGTAAGTAACACTTGTGTTACAAATACATGTCTGCTCACACTGCAGCACCAGACCTGAATAATAACACTGGATATTAGTAAAGCTTGTAGCGATAAAGTGTCTACTCTAGGGCTGTAGCGAAGCCTCGACGAAGTCGACGGCTCGATTCTAAAAATTTGTCGACGTCAGATCCGGAAGTCGACGCACCGCGCCCACTTGTTGCATCCCCAGGAGTTTGTAAATAGAGGAGGAATCTGCCTGTTTTTCCTCTAGTTCGCCCTCTTCTCCGCCTTCACTAACATCGCCGCCAAATACCGAAGACCCGGAACAACGTCCGTCCACTACTAGATTATTTTCCTGTTTTGCCCCTTCGTCTCCCGGCAACGGACAACAACTTCCGGGGTCAGATGCGCTGCTTCGTGTCTATCGCAGATGTAGAAAATCACCGGGAGCGCTTCTCCCTTAATAAAGGAGCTTCTTTCAGACATGAGGAGAGCTGTTTTGGTGGTAGCAGACTCTCCTCCGTGCTGGTCTGTTTGCTGCTGGGTGTTTTTGGTTTATTTAAACTTGGTAACTTGAACTTAATGTTGGTAAAGCTACTGTTAGCATCTTCGCTAACAGCTTCTTGCGTTGGGATAAGCTGTTACGTTTTGGTTTAGAGTTCATCTTTTTTGTGGTGTAGATCTCCCTTTTATTACATTTAGAGTGTTGTGGGTTTTCGGTTTAGTGTAAAATACCACCTGAGTTTGGTTTAACCCGTAAGACCACTCGCCTCACGCACATAAGTGACCAAAACAAAGCAGCATGGAGACACTCCATCTTCTACCACCTCTCAGGCAGCAGCCTGCACTCCCAAGTTCTACACGTCACCAGAACATAACCAACCAACACAATAAAAGCAGTGTTATACAAAATGGAAGGCCTGTAGTGTTTATTCTCTTACAGTAAGAATTTATCAAATTTTTTTTGAGGAATTTATTTGAGATTTTCTGGTTTTTGTTAATTGTGCAATAGAAAAATAATCATTAGATTAATTTTCTAAATAGTCATTAGAATAGTCGACTATTCGATAAAATAATCGTCAGAATAATCGTTTTAAAAATAATCGTTTACCCCCAGCCCTAGTCTACTCTGATGGAGCCAACATGTTGATCCAATCAGAAATGAGGAAAATTGAAGAGTATTTGTTGCTATAAATGAGTTTCAGTCTAACTTGAAGACCAAGCATTGTTATTGTTTTTCTCAGACTGAGTTTGAATAAAGAAACTAAAGATGCTTCAGTTAGTTTTCCAGGGTGGACTTGTTAATTCTGACTAAAAATTACTGACGATTTTATTTCTTAATTTAATTTGTTCATAAAAGATTTACTGTGAAAAAGCCCCCCACACCCCCCACACCCACACCCCAAACAGCCCAAAAGTACAGAATAATCTCTCCCAGGGAATGTTCAAGATTCAAGATGGTTTACTGTCATTGCACACGTGTACAACAAAACTGATATTCAAATTCAATTCAAAAAAGCTTTATTAATCCCAGAGGAAAATTGATTGCTGTAGTAACTCAGAATAATAATAATAATCAAGTCATCAAAGAGTTATTGTATATTACAATGGCTGTTGGCAGGAAGGATCTCCAGTAGCAGTCAGTGTTGCAGCCAAACTGAAGAAGCCTCTGACTGAAGAAACTCTTCTGTTGTCAGACAGTCTTGTGAAGAGAATGCTCAGGGTTGTCCATAATTTTCTTGATTCTCTGGAGAATCCTTCTTTGCATTATCTCCTCCTATACAAAGAAAATGATCAAAGCTTTTGTAATTTGGGGTTGTGTTAATAAAAAATGATGTTAAGCAAACTCAGTAACTCCTTATGAACCAGATTGTAACCTTGATTTATTTAATTATCATTGTTTGTCAACTCACACCTCGAAGCATGGGAATACACCAGAACACACATGAAGTTTAAAAATCGTTCCCACACTAGTTGCAGCTTAATGATCATGATTATTAAATGAATACATCCTTATTCTTCTCCTTGTGGAGCACATGTCTGAATGTGAGGTGGAGTTAATTGTGTTACATGTGTGTAAAATGAGCAGCAGACACACTTTCTGAAGAAATGACTGTTTCCTCTGAGCAGCTCCTCCCGCTCGTTTCCTTCCACATCTAAACATTTTCTACAGTTTTTTCCAGAAATAACAAACTTTAGATCTTTATACAGTAAAATATCTTCCCAGCCGACGTCTGCTAATACAAATGGACTCATGAGCTGTGGTGTGTTCCTGCGTTGAGGGAAAAATACAAAACTTTTCCTGAGTTCTGGATCTAGTATTCACCAGTCAAGTAAAAAATGTCCCTTTAAAAACCAAAACCCAATGCTTGTTTCAATATTCAACATTTAGTTTATTTTTGTTTATTGTTTGGATCCCCATTAGCAGTAACTGTTTTTTTTTGTTGGACTCTGAACCAGGAAATGGCTGCAGGCAATGGAACAGCAGGCAGAAAACTCCGGAGCAACCAGTGACTCCGCCCCCTAGCCAATCAGCAGCCAGAGTCACAATATTAGCTCGACTCAGCCTTGCCGACTACCTCGACGGAGCAGGGACAAAAAATTGGGGAGAAGGGAAAATACCGAACCGTGGTCGGGCCGAGCGACACCGGTCCGAGTGACTGAGTAGTGCTCCTGGAAAACTAGCTTCAAACTTGGCGAAAAAGTTAAGGGAAACCGTGCCTTTGGAAAACGTGGTCGGGCCGAGCTTCACTAATTCCAGTTACTGTGAGTTGTGCCCTTGGAAAAGCTTAAATGTGCCCGATCTCACAAACCTGTGACCGACACACCGCTGCCAGCTCAAGCATCGGGCTCCTACCACCCAGACACCACCTCGCCGCCGCTCACTGCTACAGGCATCACTTTTAAACCAGGGGAAACCCTGATGTGTAAATTAGTTGACACAACAGACCCTGGGTCATTCAGGAGCTCCGCAAAATAACAAAGCGGCTTTGGTGATCACATGATCGTGTATTAAGAACTCACAAAGTGGCCGATCGTTCAGCCAGAGTTCTGATTTAGGGGGATCAGAAAGAAACTAGTAGCTGGAAATGCTCATCCCCCATGGAACACAGAATAAGTCACCAACCAACTCCGTGTCAGTTGGACCATCAGATGGACTCTCACGTGGCCTGAATGCCTGCAGCCGACACAGATGATTGTGGCTGAGAGGTTAAAGCTTTGTGATGATGGGTTCAACGTGGGGAAAATGTGGGTTTGTTCGTAAAGCTTCACGGGAATCACAAATCTGAAATAGCCAGTTAAAAATAAAAAAGAAGCTTCTTTTGACCCTTTTAACACCCAACGTTTGAGTCTGAAACAGGACTTAAACACATTGCACTAATTATCTATTTATGGGTCCAGCTATTCCACTGGCCAGCACGCCCACTCCCTCAGGACTTCAGCTGATATGCTGAGAAGCAAACGCGAGCATGGCGAGTGCCGGGGTCATCTCAATTAATGCAGAGCAGCAGCCAGGCTGCTGGAGGTGTGAGTCACCAGCGTGAGAGCTGGATGGTAGGCAGAGGGAGCTAACCTGGAATTAAAGACGTGTCCCGTCTCCTAGAACTCATCCTCCCCGAGACAGACATGCACACGCTCATCACAGTTCATTAGCAGCGCTGTCACTACGGCGACCGCCACAGGAGCTCAGACACACTCCGTTAAAGGACGCCTCCCACTCACCATGTCCCTCTGCTGCACCGCATTAACGTCCACAGCTCTCTTGGGCACATTTCTGTGCGTTTGTCGTCAAAAATCCAGATTTGTGTTTCAAGTGCAGTAGATGGAAGTTGAAACCAAACTTGTTTGTGTTTTTCCAGGAGGAAATGGAAAAGGATCTGGGTGAATCGGAGGAGTACAAAGAAGCTAGGAACACGTTGGACTCTGTGAAGCTTGAAGGATGATTTCTGGTCTCGCTGGGAGAGATCCTCGTGTTTAAAGTCCATTCCTTCAGTCGAGCCTCCTTTGGAACCACAGAGGCGAAGCCCAAAGTCTCTGCTCTGAAATCCTTATATCTACTGTTTACTAACGTGCCACCATGTTTGCTCACTCTTCCCTCTTCTGTCTGTAAAATCCCATCAGAACGGACGGATCGGTCTTATTGCAGCGGAGGACCGGAGGGCTTTATTTCCCCTAGAGCCACACGGTTCAGCACACGGAGATTAAATCTCGAGCAAAACGTTTAAAAAAAAACTCACCTCTGTTTGATTTTGATGACTTAATTATAGTTCGGAAATATTTCTGCTTTTCTTCCTCTTCTACAGCTTTTGTCAGCTTCACCGTTTTTTCTTGCAATGTTTTACGACAAGATTTATAATTGTTTTCACTGTTCATTGAATATGTTTGTGAATAAAAATGGCAGAAGTTTGTGAGAAATAATAAATGCAATGTTTTAAGCCAACATCTTAAATTAAAAAGCTGAAGGGAACAAATTCTAGCAATTTTCATTGGGGATGTTTTGTTTCTGATCACCCATTTGGATGGATTTCACCGCGTGAGTGCTGCTCGGTTATGAAAAAGTCATGATTCTTTTGTTCAATATTATAAAAGAATTTGAAACGATTACTCCTTTAGTTCAGGAACAGATTGCATTTACTCATTCAGACAAAAGCACAAAGGAAAGCTGCTGTGCTGCTGGTTGGATTGAAAGTTTTCCCACCCTTCAGGTTTCAGGTTTTACCTTAAAAATGTTTCACATTGTAAAGTCGTGACACATTTACTGCTATCTCTCGCATGAATGAATGCCTTGTCAGTCATTTCTGTGGAATAAATGCGCTCCAGATGTTAGGGCGGGGACTGAGAAACGATGGGATTAAAGGCAAATGTCTCCTCTCTGATTGGCTAGCAGCAAAGCGAGTCTTCGGCAGCCTCTGTTGTAAAACATTTTCTTTGGTTAAAAAAAAGAGTTGATGTTTTATCCCCACAAATATCTCAAGCCTGAATGTTATGTTCTAGAGTTACTAATGCTAACTGTTAGCTTCTACACGCTGAGACGTGCTCTGCTCTCTCGTGGCTAAAAAGGCACCGCCTTCCACGGTCCCAGGCCAAGGTGTGTGGGGTCGTAAGTGCTTATTGTCCATGTGACGTAGAAGAGATTGGGTTTTTCTCACCTGGTCATTTTTCTGTCTTCTACGTCGGGACGGACACACGCAACGCCGTTATCCATCGATGCAAGAGCGCTTAACAGGCTTGCGGAGGAAGACTGAGACATGCCCCAATTTTAAGTATCCGTCGAAAGAGACTGAGGCCGCAAGCTTGTGATTGGTTAGGATGCTGCTTCCTGTTTTTATTCATCAACAGCTCCGTCTTTGCCACTTCAAAAAGTAAAGAAATGTTCAGCTGCACACATGGAACAGGTTGACGAATGCATCGCAGAAAATATGAAACGTTTATTCACTCGTGACTGAATTGAGTACAAAGATATGGAGCAAGCGTTTTGTTCGTAGATGGAAACGATGAGAAACGTGGGTTTAGAGGTGCTGATCGCATGAAGAGGTGGAGGGGAATGAGGGACAAATTTGTGTTAAAAAGTCTGAAATACATTAAAACAATATAAAGACAGTAAGTACGCTGTTGTGGACCAGTTACCTCAGAAGAGCGCCACGCCCTCTGCTGTCCTGGTGGGGAAATGTTTTGCAACAATCCCTAGCTGACCGAGTTGTCTGAAAGCAACCTCCCAAGGCGCTTCACAACACGATCATTCACCCATTGACATGCTGGTGATGATTGAATATGGAGTCATAATGGCACCAGATCTCGGGCTCTGCACCTACTGATGACATCACACTACATGACTGGACGTTGGCACTTTGATGTAGAATATTTGGGTAATTTTGGGGAAGCAGAAATCTCATGAAACTGCGTTTTAAAACAGCAAGTATATAGTTTAAATTATGAGTGGCGATTTAATAATTATATGCCAAAATTGCTCTTAGAGCTGTTTTGTTGGTAAACTGAAGTAAAGTTTACTGGTTAGCTGGGCCACAGTGATGTTGCCATAGGGTGATGTCATCGGCAGGCCAGGTCCATGTAGCTTTTTGGGGCTTCGTTCTCCACCATTGTGTTTTGCTGTTGTTCTGCCATCTCAGAATACAAGGAGAATTAAAGGATTTTAATAAGGTGTGTGTGTGTGTGTGTGTGTGTGTGTGTGTGTGTGTGTGTGTGTGATCACAGTTTTCTGATCATTTGGAGCCAAAATCCAGGTTGAATTTTGATTAACTGGATTGTGTCTGATGTCTACAGGCAAGAGCACATCGGGAACCCCTGTCAGTCAGTCAGGAGGCGCGTGCAGCCTGAACGAGTGTCACTGCATTAGCTCCAGCTATTATTCAAATGGCCTGAAAAAACCGACACCTTGCATGAAGGCTGAGAGAGTCCTTCCTAAATAGTCATAGTAATAAATGAACTCAATTGGCAGACAAATTAAGGCTACATTTGACTTGATCCTTATTTTACAGATTTCGATAATTATCGGGATCACCCCAAAGTCTCATTACCACCCTAATGAGGCGCTGCTGCTCCGTGACATCCACCCCGCTCCATCTCGTTAAGGAAATCGCTCTTCAATGCTGATTATTTTATTTGGAGCTATAATTATATTTCTTTCGGATAAATCACGGCCTAATCGAGTCCACGCAGAGGGCAGCAGTGCTAATTGAGGCATGAGATGCGGCTGCGGGCCGCTCCACCTGCGCTCTGTGTGACCGGAGGACCCGCACGGACCCCGCACCGCAAAGAAACGCGTTACTCCGGCCCTGAAGAGAAAAAAAAAGAAAACATTCAGGTTTATTCAGAATTTGGCAGATAGAATGTTTATATTTATAAAGATCTAATGGTGAAAGAAAATCATTCAAGATGTAGTGATGTGGTACTAAGAAAATGTGGTTTATCCTCATCGGCCCACTAAAATGGTCCAGTTTGATTCATCATTATTATTGTGTATTCCAGCTGAGTCACACATATAAGCCTGCGTTTTATCATTTTGCTGCAGTCTGGAAAATAAATGGATGAATGAACAAATTTCCAAAATTAGGAAAGCAGAACGCTGGATTAAATATAATAAACCTAATATTGGTATACACCACTAATAAATACATTTAATTTAATCTCGTTTTTCAAAAGGCTGATTTCAAAAGCATCTTTTAACTGGAATAAATACAAAGCCATCAAGAAAAATCACAAGAGGTGATATAAAATATCAATATAATTAATTCACTATGGAATTTTGGTTCAAGCTCTAAAATATGCAAAATAGTTTTATTATGTTTTTCTTTATTTAACCAACTGGATTGGAAAATGTGATCAATTGTTATTTAAACTTAGTCACAGCAATCAGCATACTCTTGCGATTAATATCAGAATAAAATTATTATTAATAACTGAGTGATATGAGTTCAGTTTCCTTTTGGAATAAGTTGTTTTAATTGACCTGAAGTAAAACTACTCGAGGTGAACCTGCAGTTTTTAGTGTGAAAGTGGAATTTACTACAGGTTCACGAGAGCCTGTTAAAAATCAAAAATGATCTGATTAAAAGTTTGAGGAATAGTCCAGCCCCACTTCTCCACAACACTGCAATCAAACTGGGGCCTAAAAACTCATGTTTTTGTTTTTTTGGAATATTATTTGACTCAAAAAGTGTGACAAAGATCCTGTATACCTTAAAAGTTGTGCACCTTCCGGAGCAGAGCTGCAGTCGCACCTCCTCCTCGCCACAGTAACTTATTCCTCCTTATCCCCGCTGTCACCAAATCAGCTACAAGAATCTCATTTGTTGAACTGGGAGCTTGTGCAGATGGAAGATCGATTGGTTTTCTCCTCAGAAATCTCTAATTGAGTGAATGCAGACTGAGGGGCAGCCGGCTCGGTTCGGATGGCCTGCTGCGGTGGGCAACCAGGAGGCCGTGGGTTCGAGCCCCGCCAGGAACCCAGTAATCACGCACGGCATCTGGGTCCGGCAGCATGATCATTTACAGTTCATAAAGTCACAAAAAAAGTGTTTTAGCAATTAAAATTTTAAGTTAAGAGATATTTTTGCTAGAAGGAATAATAAAAAAAACTGTATTTTTAAACGTTTATATCCAAACCACCTTAAAAACTGCTCATCATGCATTTAAGAAACCAATGAAATTATAATAATGTTTAATTATATAATTTGCTGGTTTTATTTTGCTTAATTGCAGCTAAAAGTTTCATATTGTTATATTTGCACTTATTAAATTACAGAAAACCCACCAAAATGGTTATAAATGGAGTTTTTGTGCTGTTTAATGCTGACTCGAACCCTCCTGACATCTCCTGATCTCTTGTCTTGTTCGGGTTAAATATGACCTGCAGCCACCGCTGGAGTCTCCCAGGCAGCAGCTATAAAAGCACGGTGCCATTGAGAAGCCGTAAAACCGAGGCTCCCAGTCCATCATCCCTCAGTGCGATGATTTGAGATGATTATCGGTGCGCGTGGACCGGTAAACACCGCAAATCACGGTGGGAAAACAAAACCTGGTTATGATTACCGCAAACAGCCAATAAAATGTTGCGCAAGAGTCCCGCTGTTTAAACAGCGTTAAACGCGTTCTCAAAAACTATTCAAGATCACTGTCACTAAAACTCCTCAAAAGGAAAAAAGAAATCATTCCAGTTCCGCATTTTGCTCCTTTTAGAGGAAAGAAAAGAAAATCTTCCGCTCATCCAGGCGCGTCTCAGAATCCCACATCTCATCTCCTCATCCCTCCATCCCTCCCGGTCTGTGGTTCGCGCCGCCAGATTCAGACAAATAAAAGCAAACGGAGCCCGCTCGGTCGGTCGGTGGGATGGAGGACGGAGCCCCGCGCGGGTCACGCTCGGACGCCTCCTTTGTGGCTTTTTCAGGCTCATAATAAATAAACAAACATGCTCCGCGCGCGCAGACATCTGTCTGGAACATGTCGGATTGTTTTGGTGTTTGAATCTGGAGCAGACTGCTGTGTGTGTGTGTGTGTGTGTGTGTGTGTGTGTGTGTGTGTGTGTGTGTGTGTGTGTGTGTGTGTGTGTGTGTGTGTGTGTGTGTGTGTGTGTGTGTGTGTGTGTGTGTGTGTGTGTGTGTGTGTGTGTGGACATAAACACGCTGATAAATCTGCCTAATGCGGATTCATGCAGAAACTCAAACTATTTTATTATAATTATACATAATTTAATTCAGATGAACCAGGATGCAGAGTTTCTCACCAAGTCTGTGCGGATTTTCAGCTCAGAGACTTTTTCTCATCAACTCAATTTGGAGAATTTATTTGACAAGCAGCTCATTTAAATACGTTCATATTAGCGCTAGATTATTGCGCCTTTTGCGCGTAATATAAAAGTTAAACTCTAAAGTTGGCCGTTTTTTAACTTCATGAGGAAATTATAGAAACAACACAATCTTATTTTCGACTCAGATTTTCCGCCTTCAATTCCGTCCGCAGCGCAAAAACAAGCGCAATTAACCAAAAGTCGCGGCGCTCCGACCTTCCGCTAACGGGTCGAAGCTCGCGCGCTGAGATATTAAATCAGGTTATTTTATTGGATGTAATTTGGAGGAGAAATCAAAGCCAATTACAGGAATGAGGAGGAATGAACTTGTGGGGTGTGAGAGGATGGAGGGGGTGGGGGTCTCGCGCTGACACACCTCAGGCTTCAGCTCTGATTGGTCCTCGTTTGGAGGAGCTCACGGGTTCATTCCGCCGCTAAGCGCCTCCCCGTTCCTCTAAACTACATTATAATGCAACGAACCTCCCTTTTAACCACAAACCGAATTTGCTTTCATTTAGGCCATATATTTTTCTTAAATAGGTTAAAGTCAGAGATTTTTTTTCCGCTCTCTTTTTTAGTGGGAAAAGCATTTCGCCCTGGAGCGGTGCGCAATGCTTTCTCACGCCGACCTCCTGGATGCTCGCCTCGGTGAGTTATCATCACCAAACTCCGGTCTCCAACTCTACTGTAAGCTGGAGGAACTTCTAATTTTATATTTCAGCTGAGAAAATTGTCAATTTGCTTCTTAGATTGCCTTAATGTGACCGAACAGAGCTAAACTCGACTAATTCATTGGAAAAGTAATTATTGTTATTATTATATTACTGCGTAATTTGATTTAACAGTTTTCTGAGCCATCCGTGAGATCGGATTAAATGAGGAGTATTTAAGGAGCAGATTGCAGTGCATGTTGTGTTGGATGATGTGTTGCATGCGTTTGATCTGCTTTGGAGTTAGATTCTAAAATAATGCTGCAGAACTTCACTATTCCACATTTCTGCCTGTAATGTATCAGCTCTAATCCCAATCTTTGCTCCTCTTGAAGGTGTTTCTGTGCGCAAATCTCACCTGTGCTTGTTCTGTGCAGGGATGAAAGATGCCGCAGCGGAGCTTCTGGGCCACAGGGAGGCTTTAAAGTGCAGGCTTGGCGGTGGCGGACCTGACCCGGGTCATTCCGGGGAGCTCGGCCCAGGTCCGGACGGCGTGGAGGGAGCCACGATGCTTCCCGGAGATGAGATTGGTGGCGGCACAGGAACGAACCCTGTGCAGGTGAACAGCAAGGATCAGGAGAAGCAGCAACAGCAGCAGCAGAACAACAACAGCAGCAGCAACCAGAATCAGTCCGGAGGGCAGCAGACCCAGAAACAAAAACGGCACCGGACACGCTTTACCCCGGCGCAGCTCAACGAGCTGGAGAGGAGCTTCGCCAAAACGCACTACCCAGATATCTTCATGCGGGAAGAGCTGGCTCTGAGGATCGGCCTGACGGAGTCCAGAGTGCAGGTGGGCCGACTGGAAGGTTCTGTTCACGGCTGAGACCGGTTCGGTTTACCTGGAGATAATAAATCAGCTCAGAGGGATAGAAATGCGCAATTTAGTTCCCAAATCACCCAAAGACCTTAAGACATTTAATTATATATAAACGATGTCTCGGTTGGTCTATAAACATCTAACAAAAACCAGAAAAAATCAAATAAATTGATTAGACATAACTTAAAAATTTACAAGAAAACAAATATAGAATTATTTCGGCTTATTTTCGCACGAAACACGAAAAAATAGGAACATTTAGAGCTGAATTCCAAAAATAGTAAATTATTCTCCATGAAGATCTAAAATATTGATACGATAAACTATTTTTTTCTGCAAAAACGTGAATGCAAGAGGCTCTAAAAATGATGACTATAATTTCATAACATCCACTAAGATAAGTTACCTGGTTGGTCATTGAAGCCGGGATTTGGTGCGTGTTTGTGTTTGCACTGTAAAAAATATAAACGTTCATCTGGATTTTAAATTAGGAGAGTTTATTATTATTATTATCATAGTAATTATCATAGTGAGTATCATAGTAATTAGTTTAGTTGATTATGTTATTAATATTATTATTATTGTTATTATTACCATTCTTATTATTGCTGTTGATGATGATATAATTATTATCGTTATAATTATTAAACTAATTTCAAAAAATTTAGAAAATATAATAAAAAAATTACTATATGGAAATCTGAGTCCAAAAATAAAGATGTAAATATATTCATTATAATTAATTTTTGTCTAAAATTTCATACAATAATTACGCCTCCTATCATAACGAATCAAAAACAGATCGCGGGTCGTTTGATCTCTGAACCAGAAGCATCCTTTTAGCAGCTTTGAGTTTATTTATAAATTCTGTTTTTATGGCTCTTCATCTTAAACCCAGATGAGTTTCAGCTGCTCACATGAAATAATAACAGATAATAATAATTATTATTACCTTTATTACGGCTCCGTTCACTCCTCACAGCATTTGCATAAAATCAGAATTAGTGAAATGACGCAGATCCGGTTTGATGATGAGTCTGAAGATAAGCAGCTTTCAGAGCGATGGCCCTGTCAGCGCCGCGCACGCGCTCACGCAGCGCCGGCTCTCTGCTCCTCATAGGAATGAGAGATTGCGTTTTCGTTCCCTCTGAAGTGTAATGCATTTCAGGCCGGATTTCACGGCTGCATGGCTTCGTGGGGACCGGGAACGGGAGTGAGATCGTCCCGTTCTTATTACGGAGCTCCGCTTCCTCAAGCAAATCCTCACATTAATCACAGACACCGATTACCGGAAGAGCCCCGGAGCCCATGCAAGGACTCAGACGCAGAAACACTATCGATCTCTGCGGAGCGTTATGTGACAAAATAGTTACACTGGAGGAAAGATTATTGTGATTTTTCTCTGGCAAAATAAATAAAATAGCTGAAATAATTTTTGTCAACATTTTACATCTGATCATTTACCAGGACGTGATTACATAATCAGTACATTTCCGGCATAAAATACATTTTAACCCGTTTTGGGAACTAAAATGTTTTATTTAGCAATATTAATAATATAAATAAAGTCATAGTTGTTCTGTTGGTTTAATTCTTTAATAAAGAGAACATTTATCACTGTTTGTATCTAAATTCATTGTTTTCCTTCCGTTGTCATGATGACGATCACGTGACCTACGACCCCATCCTCCTGACTCATCCCGCCTCTCTGCCTGCAGGTTTGGTTCCAGAACCGACGCGCCAAGTGGAAGAAGCGCAAGAAGACCACCAATGTCTTCAGAGCTCCGGGGACCCTCCTGCCGACGCACCACGGCCTGCCTCAGTTCCCTTCCGCCGCGGCCGCTGCCGCGGCCATGGGCGACAGCCTCTGCTCCTTCCACGCTAACGACACCCGCTGGGCTACGGCGGGGATGCCCGGTGTGTCCCAGCTGCAGCTTCCGCCCGCTCTGGGCCGCCAGCAGGCCATGGCGCAGTCCCTGTCTCAGTGCAGCCTCGGCGCAGGACCACCGCCCAACTCCATGGGTCTGTCCAACATGTCCTCGAACGGCTCCGGGCTGCAGTCGCACCTCTACCAGCCCACTTTCCCCGGGATGGTACCCGCGTCCCTGTCCGGCCCCACCAACGTGACGGGCTCGCCTCAGTTGTGTAGCTCCCCGGACAGTGACGTCTGGAGAGGGACAAGCATCGCGTCTCTGCGCCGCAAAGCGCTGGAGCACACAGTATCCATGAGCTTCACTTAGTGCCGCTCCAGCAGAGTTTCTTTGCATTCAGTTCTTCTCACGCATTCAGTTCATCTCAAACGGAAAAATGATAATAAAAGTAAATGAAAGCCACCCAGGATTCATGATCACATCTCCAGCTGCGCTCCAGCGGCTCCCCTGACGCTCTTGGCTCGCGCAGGACTGGTTCTGATCACCACTTTCGCTTATGAATGTTTGTTTATTTAATAGTCTCTTTAAATAAACTTATTGGTTTGTTCAATATTTATTTATTTATTTATTTATTTATTTATTTATTTATTTATTTATTTACATGCAGACTGCCTTTACAGCTGCAAGGCGTTCACTTGGACACTGGTGTTTTATTTTCTCCCCAAGACAAAATCTGCGGATTCAAACCATTTTGTCCTGTTCCTCCTGCTGCTCCTAAACCTCCTCCACCGGGCCAAAGGGCTCCACTATGGAAGTGCCAAAACCAGATCCTTGTGGGTTTAAAAGGATAGAACTGGAATACAGAGAAGGAAAACCGACCCAGGACTCAAGACAAAAGGAAACAAACTTGACTGCATGTGCTGTCAAAAGCAAAAGATGAATAAAAATACAAACATGAATAAAAATGGAGGAAACAGTATAAAGTCAGACCTGGAAACAGACTCAACTATAATCTGTTCTATAGGATGTTTTGTGTAGTGGAAGCTCTCTTCTTCCCATTTGGTCAGTTTGTGAAAACTTATGTTAAAAATAAATGCTGTCTGTGCTTATGATCAGAAATGCCTTTCTAAAGTGTGTGAACCATTTTGTTTCATGGACATGTTTATATACTTCAGTGTAAATGAGGAAATAAACATCATTTTCAATTACGCCACATCATGGATCAACCCTCCTTTGTTCAAACAGTGAAAACTTCTACTGTGGATGTTTTTTTAAATATTTAATCTGTAACATCACGTAATTAACCCTACAAATCTATTAATTTGGTATCAATTAAAATAACAGATGATGCATGAAAACAAAAGCACGTCGTGTCCCAATATTATCCAGATAAAACCTTAGTGTTTACCAAAATGATCAGAGACCAAGCTTAATGGCACAAACATCCTAAACACATCTTTAAAATGTCAGAAAAAAACATGCTAATGTTCTTTTTATGCAGATATTATTCTCCAGTAGACATACAGTAACTTCTCTTTATCATTGTTCACAACAAAAACAAACAAACAGGAATGGGATCATTTTGTTCTGAAACAGCTCTATTAACACACCAGGAGTTGGCTTTGGTGGAATGGTTCACTTGTATGTTTGCACCATTCCACCAAGAGAGTCATTTGGCAAATAAAACCTGATTCTGAGTTAAAATTTCAGTATCATCTATTTATGTGAGAACAAGTTGATTTATTACACTCTTAAGAACATATCGTGAGCTGGTAGCTACGTGTACAATGTTTTTGTTTATCTTGCCACTGGTTTTATTGGATAAATAAAACATTTGAATAAGATTTCTACGAAAAGTCAAAACAGAACATTCGGCCACACTTGTGGAGTAAATTTATTATATTTTCACCATTAAATCTTTTTACAGTGTAATGTTTATCTAATGTGTGATTTCTACGTGTACTTTCAAAGTCCAAACTCACATTTCCATGCTGCTAATAAATCAGGATAAGTCTAATTCTCTTGACATTTTAAAGCTACAACCTCTAGTTTATAACACACCAAAACACAATTAACATTAGTTTGTGACACAATCTCACCTTAGAGGTCTTATTTTGATATTCTCAGTTCATTTCAGTCCGAAGAAGCGAATAACGACAAGAGTCGTCTCAGGCACTTTACAAAGTAAACATTCCAATTGAACCAGTTCATTTTTCCAATAAGGAATCCAGCAAATTGAACTGAGTCACTGACTAGTGTTAGAGTCTTTCCTCATACTAAGCAAGCATGCAGCAACAGTGGAGAGGAAAACTCCCATTTAACAGGAAGAAACCTCTAACAGAACCTGGATCCATATGAGCAGCCATCTGCTTTTAAAACATTTTCCCTTGTGTGTGTGTGTGTGTGCATGTGTGTGTGTGTGTGTGTGTGTGTGTGTCTGCTTTGAATAATAAAAAAAAACCTCAGTGTGAGCCTCCATCAAATATGTAATTTGACTTTACGTCTGTCTGATTGCAGTCTCGCTGTAGTTTGTTGTGACCCATGACTCAAAAATAAAACTCTGGAGTCGTCTGACACAAACATTAATAAACAGAGAGAATTAGAACCCTTGAACATGTTTTCATTTAAAATAGACATTTGATTTTGATCAGAATCAACAAGATTTTATTTTTCATAAATATTCATCATGAAACTAAACAAGCGGTCAAACACAATCTACTGTAGACGTGAAAGCGCTCTGGCTCGGAGCAGGAACTCCAGGAACCTGCCTAATTTGTTGATGTATTAAAGGAAATTGCATCCGTTTGTGCTGCAGATGAGAATATCACAAATGTCTCTGGGCTTTTAAGCTGTAATTGGGTTTCTGGTCGTATTTTATTTGCAACCTCATATTCACAGCCCAGGCTTGTTTTGTGATTTTTAACAGTAACACTTTGAAACAGTTTAAAATTGTCTTTAAGTTAAATTGTTATAAATGTCAGGACTAAAAGTTTTAAATTTCAGTCTTTTGGGACTTTTGTTCCCCTTCGATGACGACGCACAGATTTGCAGGAAACTCTTCTCTCCTCCAGCTTTAAACCTCACCTACTAACCAACTCTGCTCTGTGACACCATTGCCACAGAGAAGCATTCACACTTCAAAATCTCCACTCTGTTGTTTCATTCTTTGATATTAAGGTGTCCCTAATCTGGTCTCTAAAGGTCCTTTTCCACCTGGAGCTACTCGGCGTGGCTCCACTCGGTTCAGCCCAGTTTCAAGGGGTTTCCATTGGTAACAGGTTTCCAACCCCCCCCCCCCCCCCCCCCCTTAGTACCTGTTTTGATGTGTGAGCTGAGCTGGGCTAAAATCACAATGTCCATCTTTGGGTCACTGATTGGGGTGGAGTCTCTAGCTGCTCCAGAGTTTTCCATCTCGCTTCCTGCAATCTTTTCTAGCGTCCTTCTTTTCGGAGTCTGACATGAAGCCACGACCAAGCAGGATGTTCAACATTGCTACCATGCCCTCCATTGTTGCGTTGCATTGCGTTTTTGTGTCGCCAACACATCGCCTCTGTCAGTGCGCCCCAGGGCAGCTGTGGCTACATCATAGCTCATCCCCACCAGTGTGTGAATGTGTGTGTGAATGGATGAATGATACACTGTAGTGTAAAGCGCTTTGGAGTCCTTGCTCTGAGAGGCACTATACAAGTGCGGGTCATTTAACATTTGACTTGTGCTACTTTTTGAACTCTAAGGGCCGCCTTGCTAGGATGAGCAGACCCACTCAAGTGTTAGTGGAAAACCACCCAAACCGTGTTGAGCTGCTGTTTGTTCTAGTGGAAAGGGGTCAAAAGTGTTGTTTTTGAAGATTGACTCGTTGATACAATAACGCCATTAATGCTGATGAACGCTTTACTTTAGAAAACAAAACAGTTCTGACCACGGCTTCCTATTAAGCAACATCTGTTTTATGATTGAGCTCTTTAAAATTAAAATAGGTTGTAGATTATTTTCGAGAGCTACATCTGTCATAGTGTGTGTCGTAATAAAGTAAAATGACAACAGTGAATGAAACAGGAGTGTGTTGGTCAATAAAGATTTATACAGAAACAGATTGTGAACATGCATCAAAGGAATGAGAAGTTGGTTTGTATCTTTGTATAAATGGTATAGGGAGCCACCGTTCTCTGACTTGACAGAAGAACGATGCGTTTCTGATCATTTTGACTAAACATTCATGACTGTGTGTTGTTGTCTGGACCTGATATGGATGCTGGTGAAGGTTCTCCATCATCCAGGTCATGGTAATCCAAAAGGGTTCGATTGAAGGCAGCAGTTGCCTTACCTGGTATAACACAAAGAATGAACACAAAATCTAAAAGAGTTTATGTTGTTTAATTTAAACATAAGTAATATCTGATAATAACTTTGGAGTAAACAAACATGGAGGAGGAGGAGGAGAGTGCACCGCGCCTCCGTCATCTCCCTTTCTGATTGGCTACATGTCCCATTTAACAGGCAGCCCACTCGTTTGTCCTTAAGAATCTGACCAAGACAGTCCAACATGTTACATATTCACATTTTACAACAAGACTAAAACAAAATATTATTTGTAAAAAAAATACTTTTGCTTCCACCAGATTGAAGAAAATATTTTTACAATCAATAAAGCAGCTTTTTGAGGAGAAAAACAAAACATTTTTTATTAAAATAATAAAAAAGAAAGAGCTTTTATAAACTTATAAATATGTGTATGGATATGAAACCATTGTTGTTAAAGGGTCTCGGGAACTCACTCCCCCCAGACATCAGGAGCATCAACAGTTTTACCCTTTTCAAAACCAAACTCAAAACATATATCTGTCTATGACCTCTGATTTTATTGAACTGTTTCTCTCTGTTTTTTCTTCTTTGCGTTTTATTGTGGTTTTATTGCTGTTTTAATGTATTTTCTATCAAGTGACCTTGGGTCTTCTGAAAGGCACTTTTAAATAAAATGTATTATTATTATTATTATTATTATTATTATTATTATTATTATTATTATTACTATTAATAAATTGACATGTTTAATGTTAAAATGTTGGTGACACAGCATTTCAACATTTAATATTGCAGTTAAGTATGTAGAATAGTAAATGTGGGAAATCAGTATTTTATTATTTCATCATGGATCAAAGAGAGAACAACACAAATGCTGACCAATGTGAAGAGCAAATCTATGCCAATGGATAAGACTATCTTTAGAACCATTACAGTTAATGGGCGCATCCTTAAGATTGTCCAAAGTCAAAATTGGCAGGACTATCCTGCCATGGGAACCAATACTTTAAAGGTGTGGTTGATTGAAAAAGCTTTTTTTTTAATGATTGTACCTGGGATCCTTCAGAAGGGGTGGAGACACTTTTCCTATTGGATGTCACCTCTGTTACACTGTCTCCCAAGAAAAATTGCTAAGATATAGACACTGATTCCATTCCAACTACTTAGACTTGTTCAAGGTTTAGGGTACCATGTGCACCACTGACGGAGCTTGTTCTTGTATGGTCCTCTTCCCAGAGGCCCCTTGAATGAGCCTAACTGATTATTTTAAAATGAGCTGACAGTTAAGCTGTAAATGCTGCAACCCATCCCGCACTGTTTGACCATTTTTCAAAGTCCACTGTTCTTTTTTTCAACACAATATATCTACAGTAGTATAAATGGATGTCTTGTGAGTCAATCTCTGTGGGGGAAAAAAAAGCTCTGGCCCTCCTGTTTCAGGAACTAAAAGTGAGCCAGGGCAGATGAGAACAGAAGACAGCAGGATTTGAAGTCTTAGTTCCTCAGATTTGTACATCTCTGTACTCTGATTGGCTAACAGAAACACAACTCTACCACTGACTCTGTTTGATCTGCAATGTTGATGATTTATCTCCACCAGCAAGCCTGGAGGAGTTCTGCCATGTTGTGAAGCTGCTAACGCTAATGGATAGCTTCCACTGGCCAAGGCGTTTTTGTTTTTTCCCTGGCGATAAACCAACAACAGCCTTCCCTGTCGTGAGTCCATAAATGTAACTTTCAGTGTTACGTATAATTGACTGGCTTTTCTAATCTAAGCGTTTCCCCGTCTATTTTCTATCAGCGGCTACAGCAGGAAGAAGAGGTAGAGGACTATTTTCACGTTCAGCCTGCATATTTCAAAAATGATAAGTAAAAAGCTTTTTTCAGTGAACTTGGTCTGAATATTCCCTT